TTGCTTTGATACACTACCATTACGAAAATCGTGTTAATAAAGTTCAAATCAAGCGGTAGAGTCGTCCTTAAATTGTAAAAAAGGAATTATGAATAAAGCTATTAATCGCCCAACCTTGTTCCCAGGTTCTGTCTCTTCTGCCTCCCTTGGTCGTTTTAATCACCTAAGTTAAAGATTGAGGTCACTTCAAGCTCGCGTGAATTGGTTGAAATTTTGGGCTTGTCCTCTTTTACGCCAACCTCCGAGTATAAAGTGCGATGTTGTTGATTCTTTCATGTCAGTGTTGAATGAAAGAATTACCTTGCCAACATAATCTTGGATTATTAAAGACATCTTTCATAGAATTCGTTTTCTTCCATGAGAATTTTTAACCTTACGGATAGAAGCACTGAACGTTTCTCACAAATCGATGCTGCCAACGAATTGGTGATATCTTATTTCCCTTACCCCGATAAACGAAGGCACGAATTCCTCACTGAGGAATCTTTTTTTTCCCCACAAAGTTTACTTCCTGTACAATCTGAACTCCTTTTGTAAACCGGTGAAAGATTTGTTTCGGGTCTGGAACGCTGGTATCAGTTTTCTCATGATCCAGTTGTCAATAAATTAGATATCGATTTTTATTGATTGATCGGTCTATTGAGTGTATTTTGTCAACCTTCTTCCCAGGGCCTGGGAACGAGGTTGGTATTTTAATACTTTTTTTCATAATATCTATGATTTACCATACGTTGATAAAATACTGACGATTTTTTGAACGGTCTTGGAAAGTTAAATTAGAATGCATTTGATAAGTGCGGAGCATCTCCTTGAAATGGGGTCAGTGGGTGATATCGTACGCCACATTTTGATCTGTGACAGATAAAGAGGCTAAAAAATGTTATCGGATTAACAACTTGCTATGTAGTTACCATCAATTTCGCTGACAAGCGTGCAAATTCTTGGAATAGAGGTGGAGCTTTTAAAAAGATGTTTGTATGCTTGTTTTGCTCACAATCGTATGGCATTATTTTGTGAACAAATTTGTTGTAAAAGTTGGAGAAATGCCATAAAGTTTGGAAAGTAAACGAACGTTGTTTACTTCCAAGTTTTTTCCTAACACTACTTTCGAAGAGTCATGTTTTGCAAATACGTATCGACATGGGCCGACCATCTTAATTAAACAACAACCTCAGGTATCTTTGAATTTTCCGTGTGGTTTTGCTTTTCTGGTTTAAAAGTTTTTTCCGGAAGAAAGTCGTCATAAATACTGAAAATTGCGTTGCACGGTACGAAAGTTCTATTACACTAAAATGTTTAGAAAATTGAAGTTAGATCAATGATTGTGGCTCCTCACGAAAGGCATAATCTGATCTGGCAATTAATGTTGCAAAGTCGACAAGTTGTCTTGGAATTCAGCCTAATCTGTGAATCTTGCAGGCCGAGGCGTTTTCATGTTGACCGACATGATAAGCTAACATTCGCCTCCAGTGAACAAGTTTGCCACAACTTAGTATGGTCGGGGAAAAAACATTCTTCAAGATTGGGTAAAAGTCAGGGAAATTTTGCTTTTATTAGGTAAAAGTCAGAGAATTTTGAAAAGTGATGTTTGTGGCAACCATGGTGAAACCTTTAAACAACACGAATAAAAAATGCATTTACAATAAATAACGAGCAGGATATTCATACATTTTACAAAGATTAATATTTTGTTAGGTACTAGCGATTAAGGATCAAAAGTTGCTTGAATACTAGCTCGGCCCTAGACGCTTGGCCGCCTGGTTATTAATTATGTCCTTAATATATGTAGAGAGAGGAAAAGTGGAAAAGGTCATTTGTAGCAAATATCAGATCATTTCTGTTCAACCAGTTGTTTCTATCATTTCCACTGTTCTCATAACAAGAGAAATAACGTTTGAGGGCGCCACTTCCGTAGAATCGATATCTTCAGAGGCTCGCTACCTCCCGAATTTGATAAGAACCGCGAAATGTTATCTTTTCCTTCTGGAGTCCTTATTTTCGGTATGATATATAACAGCATTATGAAACAAACATAGCACTTTATTCAGTATAACGCGGCACAGTTGTACCCTCAACTCGGTTTTTGCATTGAATGCAACATGAGTGGAAGTACGCTGCTAGAGGTGTTTGGTGACATCGTGTTCAGATTTACACGGAGTGTGACAGAGCACTACAACCCAGAAGAACCTGAATTCACGGCAGAGTCTTTTGGCTACGATCCTGTACAAAGCACAGGTCGAGAATGGTATTATCTTCCTGTTGACGAGCTTATTTATCAAGAATACAGCGTCAAAGACATCACAAGCTTCGCTTACCTGGCATCTAGCAGCCTTGATGTACAAGTTATAAATGCGTGTTTACCAGAGGACAGCACAGAGGAAGGTAACTAAGAAAATAGGCAAGAAGAAGACAAAGAAATGGCTTGGAAGCGACTTAGACCACCCGTTCTACAGACAGTTGTGAAATCAATGTACATTGGAGGTTTAATTTCACTTCTCGCCGCCTCCGTCGTGGGTACAATATATACATTGTTCTCTTATCTTAACTATAAGACGGCGTGGAACTGCGAATTTAAAAAAGTCGAATTAATTTCAGCGCGGATACAATGGACGAAAACAATTGCAGATATAATCGGTTGCGTCCTCTATTACGCCTGCCCAGTTTTAAACTTGTTATTTCTCTTTCGGCCACATCAGCTGAAAGGGATCAAAACTAAACTGATTCTCGTTTCTTTTGTGATGTACATTTTGGATGCACTTTTTTGCGCAGTTCTACAAGCATTTGGAAAACCTATCTTTACCCTTCCTGCTTTATACAGAGCCTTGTCTAATGTTCCAGTGTTTATTTTCGTTTTCGCTACTGTTTGTGTGCAGTTCTATTTTGTCGCAAGACACTTGTTTGTACGACTGAAACCAAATTTAGCGTGTCTTATTTGTAAAATGGCAATTTCACCTTCTTGCGCTGTCATCGCGGCCTTTGTCATCAGGTATGCTATTTACACAGCGTACAACAAGCAAGACACGGAAGGCAAACTTGTAATCGCCCTCTTTTCCCCTCTCATGGGTGTGGCTGTCAAAACAATTTCACGAATCTGTGTGCAGCGGTTGTGGAACATTACCCATCCGGGGTATTCGTATGTTTTATTAGCACCGTTGTATTGCTTATTGTCTGTCATGTTTCGAGTTTTGCAAGCGGACCTTGACAGCCTGGAATCTATTGCTGTTCTTGGAATAATTCACGGCTTTGCCGAAGTCGTAGAACGCAGCACCGTGGTTGTTATTGATCATCTCTGCCACCAAATTTGCAGACGAGAATCACTTCCATGGGGAAGTTTTCGCACACCTCGCCGTGAAAGACTAATGGCTGATATCATTATCATGAGCATGTTGTTCGAATCAACTGCTATAGTGTCTGTTAACGGCTTGTTATACTTGTATCAGAGAGGAATGATTCATTTCTAGAGTTGATGCAGTCTTTTGCAATCCACACTTCGGTTCCGTTGGTGATTGAGTGGTTTTTCAACAGCTTATCTCTTGCGGTCGAGACTTGGTATCAGAATATGGCTGTAATGGCTGTATGGCGAAAACAGTGGAAAAGACACATTTTAGTGGCGATTGTAAACGTGTTGCCAGTTGCTCTATGGAGCAGCGCAAATCTTTTAGTGATTGTGCATGGACGGTTTGACGAGCCCTTAAATCAGTCTTGTAAAATGCCATTTATGTAGAGGGCCGGGACACTGAGAGAAGTTTTCCTTTTATACACTATCATTACAAAATCATGTTAATAAAGTTCAGATCTAGCGGGACAGTCGTCCTTAAATTGTAATAAAGGAATAATGAATAAAGCTATTAATCAAAACTATAACAAAATTCTGGAACGTGATGAGCTATCAGCAGCCCGATTTGAGCATTAATCCACGGTAGGAAAAAAGATGGCGGCTGTACATTTTTCCACAATGGCCTGCGAGCCTACCCAGCCTATAAGGCACAAAGAAAGCCATTTTCTTTTACACTATTCGTCCCTGTTCCAGGGCCATTACGTAGCCTAGGTTTGAAGATTTTATAACGTTTCTGTACGTTTTTATGAACGCTGTTAAGGTTTTAGTGCGCTAAGTACTATGGGTAAATGTACCAGCGCCATCTTTTTTCCTACGGATGATTGGAGAGTGTATACGCGTCATGCTTGTAATTGGACAGTACGCGTCATTTTGCACGCGCTGTTGCGATGCACTTTGTTGAGTAAACTGCTGTGTTTTTCAGCATTCATAACGGTGTTTAGTCCTTCGGCGCTCAATTGATGGTTTATTCGTTTCTCGAATTTTGTCATAGTTTTGATTAATTGGTAACAGGGCTTCGCGTCGTCCAATTCATAATGGTAATTGAACTGGGTGGAGTGCAATTTGGTCTGAAATCATACGCGTGATTTCAAAATCGAACGAGCGCGCAGCGCGAGTTCTATTTGAAATCACAAGTATGATTTCAAACCAAAATTGCTCTCCACTCAGTTCAATTGCCACTTTATTAGATCCATTTTGAAATCGCCCAATTTTATCGCCTTAATTTTTAGCTTTTTGGTGTATTGTTTCAGTAGTCGGTGTGTTAAAAAGAAAAAGAGGAACCGGGAACGCCTTTACGTCTCATTTAGTATGCAAAACGATGTCATGTGACGAAAACTAATCCGAGCATGACAAAGAAACAAGCAGTTTTGAAGTCTGAACGAGTATAGTCTACTTCAGGTATTAAAGTTTTTCGTCGCCTGAATCAATGATGGAAGGCCTTTCTTTCTTCTGTGGTTGAGGCTGAGACTTTCCATTGT